TTTCTGCCTCCAGTTATACATATGTTAGTTTACTTGAGATTGTTTCACACTTCAGTGATCCTCAGTTCATTTTTAAAAAACTCTCTTTTCTCTCTGTTTTATTTTAGCTAGTTTATATTGTCATATATTCAAGTTTACTAATCTTTTCTTCTGCAGTATCTAATCTGCCTTTAATACCATTCCTGTGTATTTTTCATCTCACACTTTGTAGTTCTTCTCTAGAAATTCAATTTTCGTGTCTTCCTTGTCTCTACTTAGCTCTTTTAGCAAATAAAATGCAGTTTTAATGACTGTTTGCATATCTTTATCTGCGAATTCCGACATCTATGTCAGTTCTAGTTCAGTTTTAATGGGTTGATTGAACTCCTCTTGGAGGGTGGAGCTATGTTTTCCTACTTCTTCAAATGCCTGGTAATTTTTGATCAGATGCTAGACATTAGTGGATTTTATCTTCTTGAGGGCTGAATATTTTTTGTATACCTATAAGTATTCTTGAGCTTTGTTCTGAGACACAGTTAAATTACTCAAACAGTTTCAGCTTTTGGCTTTTTAGATTTGTTAGGCAGCAGGTCTGAAACTGTGCCCAGACTAAGGCCGATTATTCCTCATACTGAGGCAAGATCTTTCTGTCTGCTCTTCCCAGTGTCCCCTGAATCTTGAGATTTTCCAGGCTGGCTTCTGAGAACAGGCACTGTTCCCCCCACCTCCTGAACCTCCACCCCCAACCCGTGTGAGTCCCTCCTTCTGGATGGTTCTTTCCTGGCCTTGGGTAGTTTCCTCACACACATGCACTGATCAGATGTCCAGAATTCTCTGTGTACCCCTCTCGTCTAGGTCTTTTGTCTCAGGAATCCTGGCCACCTTTGTCTCCCCAAACTCTCCCCTCTCCTTAGCCAAGGAGTCTGCTGAACTCTGCCGGGCCTCTTCCCTGTGCTGCGTCCTGGAGACTCCAATTGTGGGGCCGAACTTTTTCCTTTCCTGTCTCAGATATCGTTGTCCTTCGTTTTCTGATGTCCAGGGTCTTGAAACCCATTGTTTTATGTATTTTGTTTCTTTTTTGGTTGTTTTATATAGGAGGGTAAATTTGATCCTTTTTGACTGGCCAAATTGTAGAAATTTCATTTACTTTGTAATTGTTGATTTATAGTTCTTTTTGCATTCTGGTGTGAGTTCTTTGTTGGATAAATGCATTGCCTATTTATTTTCTTAATGATATTTTTTGGTGAGCACAATATTTTATTTAACTAAAGTGTCAATTATCTACTCATTTCTTTTATAGTTCATTCTGTTCATCTTTGCCATAAAGATTTGTCATAGAGATTTTCCTCTGTTTGCTTCTAGAAGCCTTCTGATTTGGGATTTTATGTTTAGGTATATGATTTATCTCATGTTAATTTTTGTACAGAGTATGTGATAGATAGGGTTTGAGAAACATACTTCCCTATCTCTCCAATTGTTCCAGTGTAATTTATTGAATATTTTTTCATCTATTGCCTTATTGTGACAACTTGGTTGAAAATCAGTTGAACACATGCGGGTGTGGGTCTATTATGGACTCTTTTGTGTTTCATTGATATGTTTGTCTTGATGCCAGCGCCACACTGTCTCAATTACTGCAGCTTTTTACCAAGTCTTGAAATCAGGTAGCATTAAGTCCTTCAGCTTTGTTCTTTTTCAGGACTGCTTTGCCATCCTTGTTCCTTTGTATGGACATATAAATTTTTAGAGTCAGCTCATTAATTTCTATAAATCAAAAAGCATGCTGGGATTTTGATTAGGATTATGTTGACTCTCTTGGTCAATTGGTGGAGAATAGTACTGAGTCTTCCAGTTGGGGAACAGGCACATCTTTAGTTAGATCTGCTTGATTTCTCTCAGCATGGTGTTTTTCAGTCTTTGGATGTTACACATTTTTCCTTAAATGTCTTTCTAAATATTATTTTTATTATTTAGCGCTGTTGTAAATGGTATATTTAAAATTTCATTTTCCAGTTCTTGCTAGTATTTACTTATTACTTCCAGTAGATTTTTGTGTGTATTGGCGGGGGGGAGGGGCGAGATTTTCTTCACATACAATCCTGTCACCTCTAAAGAAAATTTTACTTCTTTCTTTTTGATCTTTACAGCTTTTGTTGCTGTTATTGTTGTAAAAACAACATTTTCATGATTTAGCCATTTTATCCCAGTCTTTAAGTAAAATGATGCTCTAATCTGTGAAGATGTTCTCCTGTGACTTTAAGGACCTGGCTGACTCTGTACTGGGGCCCCATGGATTGTGCAGCATTGACTGTGGCAGGGCCTGTTCCCTGGGGACTGGACTGGCAGGTGGGCGCTGGGCTCCTAGTGAAGCGCACGTGGCGAGGGCCTTGTGTGCTCTGCCGGGGGGAGGACAGTCAGCACACCTATACCAGATCCAGGATGAAGTTCCCGCGACAGAGCTGGTGCTCTGTTCCTAGCCTAGTGCTACCCATGCTCCAGGATGTGTCCGCAAGCATCAGTTGTCCTCCAGGACAAAGCACGGGGAGGATGTCTCTTGTGTGCCCTTTTGGTCCCATCGGCTGCCTCGCCCTGTGGAGTCAGAGCCCCTGTTCCACACTAGGGCTGCGGGGCTGAGATGTGACTCCCCAGGACCCAGGGACAGGGTGGGGCTGGTGCCTGCATAGGAAGTGCTGCTGGTGGTGATGCTGGCGTCCACCCAGGGCTCGACATGGAGGAAGGCAAGGAAGGAGGCACGTGGCTGGGCATCAGCACACGCGGAAAGCTGGCAGCAATCACCAACTACCTGCAGCCGAAGTTGGACCTGGAAGCCCCTGGTCGAGGTACCGCTAGGAGGGGCTGGGGGCTGGTTTAGGAGGTATAGGGGCGTGGCTTAGGGTGGGGCCCGCGGCTGGCTTTGGGGGTGGTCTCACTGCAGGAGCTTCCTTGGACAAGTGCAGAGACAAGAGGAGTTAGAATGGAGAAGAGGATTATTTTCCTGGGCCTGAGAGTCTACTGGCTGGTATCACTGCAGGAAACCACCCTCAGCCTGGCCCGCATGATACTCACCCTTACTGACCTTTCACCCCTCTCAGGAAGCGTGCTCCATACTTGTCCCCTGGCCAAGGTGTTACTCCTGACTGTTGTGTCATTGTCTTCCATCTGTCTAGTGTTTGCAGAGCAGATGCCCCTGGGAGGACAGCTACATAGACACACATCGTCTCTACTGAAGAGTTTTTCCTCATGCTGGACTTCTATATGGGGGCATAATGGAGGAAAAAAAACCCCTAAAAACCAACAAAAACATAGTTCTTAATGCTGACCTCCTTGGCTGCTGGATCAATGAGGTGTGGCCAGCCCATGCAGAACCATCAGTCTCTCAGGGAGAGGGGCTAAACCTGTTGCCTCAGCCATGGGTGTCTGTTCTCTGCTCACAGGCAAACTTGTGGCCCACTTTCTGACCACAGACATGGACAGCTTGTCCTACCTGAAGAAGGTCTCCGCAGAGGGACACCTGTACAACGGCTTCAACCTCATAGCAGCTGATCTGAGGTGGGTCTACCGTTTGGGGGACAGCAACCCATTCAGTGATGCCACAGGACTGGGTTGTGGGATCAACAGGAAGTGCGATTTCTGCCCTGCCAATCAGCTTGGGGTTCTGTAGCATCTGTAGCAGCCTCTCCAGAGACATTGCTCCTTGGCAAGTGTCCCAAGGGCCAAGCCCCTCCTAGACCTACGGAGTGGGGGATTCAGGAAGCAGAACTTCGAAGGAGGGGTTCCTGTGACAGTGTGAGGGATGGCTACTGGCTCCTACCATGAGAGAGCTGGAGTGTGATTGCAGGGGTGCTCTCCTAGCACAGGGTGCATTCCTTGCCCACAACCACCTCCCTGCCCCCAAGTCCCCTCTCCCTGTCTGTGGCTAAGGAGCCCCCTGTTTTTGATCCGTACCTCTCTGGTGAGCAGATGTCCCCAAGGTTGGAGAAGGAAGATGAAAGTACAACTGGCTGTGGCCCTGGAGTTCTCTGGGACCATGTGGTGGTTGGGTGCTGTTGGACGCTGGCGCCCTGCATGGCATCTTCAGGGAGCTGGGTCTGAGTGGGCAGCGTGGTTTATCTTGGGTTCTGTGAGGGGTCTGGGGGTTGTGAGTCAGGTTTCTGGAACCCTGCAGATGGCCCGTGCCCCATGGGGAAGAGGCAGTTGGAGCTTTACCAGTCCCATGTGGGGCACACAGAGAGGTGCAGCAGGGGCCTGATAGTTGTAGCAGCAGTCGCTGGTTACCTGATGGCCGCATGCTCAACCCTTCATTTGCAGTACTCTCTATATCCTGAGAGCCACCTGTTTGCCTGATGCCACTGAGCTGATGGGCAGGTGACCTGGCCATGACCACTGGTGGTTTGAGGTGGGGCTGGGGTCTCCTGCTGGTGTGTCGGGGTCCTGAGTGCCCCTGGAGGGGCATCCCACTAGTCCTGCACATGGCTGGGAAGGAGCACCATGCTTGTATCCACTTGAGGCTGGCTGCCACTGGGTCACGGCCTGGCTTTTCAGAGTGTGTTCATTCTGCAGTGCCTAGGCCTGAGCTTTGGCCTCAGCCACACACCAGCTCAGGCACCAGCTGCACAGGCACTGCTTGTGGCATTAGTGTGGCTCACCTCTCAGTACAGATACTGAGCTCCAAGGTGAAGTGATAGTTAGTGCTTGGCTCAGGTTAGCAGGAGACATGGAGATACATGGCACCCTTGTCACCTGGGTGGGCGGGGGTGGGGGGGAATTCCAGAGCCTACGTCCTGTGCTGTCAACACTGGTGGACAAGGGCAAAGGAGTCTCAGGGGCTACTTGCTGGGTACCAAGCTCGTACCTGGCCCTGTTTTTCTACAAACGAGCTGACGCTGTTGAGTCTCAGTGTATATTAGCAGAATGTGTTAGATGGGGGAGCAGCAGTGCCGTGGACATGAAGGAAGACTAGTGTAGAGAAGCCCTGGCTGGGTGTCCCCACTCCGCTACCTGAGCACCTTGAAGATCAGCCAGTTGATTCAAGCATTGGCAGGAGCAGCCCACATCACCAACCAGGGTGGGCTGGGTGTGCTGGGTCCCTGCCCACATGATGTGTGCGTTAGAGATGTGGCTGTGGGAACTGCAGGGGTTTTGTGTATTTTGCCCTTCAGTGAAGTCAGCAACCCTCCCACTCTCCCTCCTGCCTTTCCCTTCCTTTTCCTTGCTCCCCTTCTTTCCCCCTCCAAAGGCCCAGTAGTTGGTGGATGCTTCCAAAAAGGCAGGCATCAGGGGAGGCAGTCAGTGCCCCGTGGTCAACCCATGAACAGATGCCTGTTCTGACCCAGCTTCCTTCAACAAGGGTAGGTCCATGGGCCTCTTTCCTGGCCCAGGAGCCCTAGGCCTGCTATACAGTGTGTTTGGCTCCCGTCCCTGCCTCTCAGATAGATGCATCAGTCCAGAAGCTGCATTGCTCCATGGAAGGAGGGCCAAGGGTGCCAGCTGGTACTGAAACCCTCTCTTCCCTGCCTTGGCCTGCTCATACCTTCAGTGGCTCCTAGAAGGGGAGCCTCCATGTCAGTTTAGGGATTACTTTGCCTGTTAGTAATTCTGTGTATGTCTGACCTGGCCAGGAAGATCAGCAACTTGGCTGTAAACTAGCAGGACTCAGTGCTCAGCAGCTCTGTCAATTGGCTGGGTGATGAGGGTCTTATGCTCTGAATGGACACATGTATGAACAGGTGCTCCTGTAGACAGGGCGTGGGAGTGTGGGCCCCTTAGAGCCTGAGCAGCTCTCCCAGGGCCATGGGGTGGGGACCTGCCTCCTCAGATGCATCCAAGAAGCTACCAGGGGAACTCAGTGGATTATGCCAAAGGAGCATCCCAGGGCAGCCCGGAGAGTGGAGGGAGTCAGAGGTCAGAGGGAGCCAGAAGGCACAAGGGGTCAGTCAGAAGTCAGGAGCCAAAGGGCGCAGGGAGTCAGATTCAGCCAGCAGCTCTGGTTGGTAACAGAAGAGGGTCAAGACCAAGAAGAAGAGAGCCTCATCTCCATCATGGCTGTTCCCCGGGTAAGGCCCCCCTCTACCCGACTAACCATGGTAAGAGTGGATACCCGCTCTTGCAGGTCCTCATGCTTTCCAGCTTTTTGTCTGAAGTCATTAGACAGATGTCTTAAGAAAAGAGCCAAGGGCTGTGCGGAAGAAGAATGCGAGCAGAATGGGAAGCCACCTGGGGGTCAGGGGTCCTTCCTGCAGGGTGGCTGGTATTGAGCAGATGAAGTAAGCCTGGGTGGGTCTGGCTGGTGGGACTCCCCAACACTCCCCAGTCAGCCTTTCCTCTATCTTCCTGCAGGGTGGCTGGTATTGAGCAGATGAAGTGAGCCTGGGTGGGTCTGGCTGACTCCCCAGTCAGCCTTTCCTCTACGTTTGTTCATCCTGAAGACTCAGTTCTCCATTTCCAGCAGTCCACCAGGGAAGTGGCTCACAGGCCAGAAATTGTCCCTCTTTAGTTTGCAGAAAAGGCATTCCAGATTTTAGCAGAAAGATTTACTGTAGTACTTTAGAATTGAAACACAGTCAGCTCTGGAGCATTTTAAACTATTTTAAAATGCACACTCGGCATATGAAAGTAGGAAAATGTGGTCTTTGGTGCTTTATTCAAGAGCCTCTGTTACCCTGGGACATCCTGTCCAGTTTGTAGGTACTCAGAGATGAGCTGTGGGGGTTGGGGCCTTGGCCTTACAGAGGGGACCAGTGTTCTTGGGTGCAGGACTCAGCCCCCTGCAGCTGTCACTGCTCTCAGCCTCCGAGTGCCCATGCAGTGAGGTCATTCAGTGAGGCAGCGGGGTCTTTTAGATGCTGCCACTTCCACGCCAGCAGTTTCTGTGGTGAGCCAGGAGTCTTGATGACTGTGCCTACAAGGGCCCTGAGGAGCTGGGGCCTGGCTGCAGTGGGCCATTGTCCCTGTGCTCACTGCTGGCAGGGCTGCTGGGGATGGGGGGTTGTGGAAATTGCCAGGGGGAACGAGGGGTCAAGATGATCCATGGCCCATATATGACCCTCTCTGCACTCTTGTTCACAGCACAGAGAAGGGAGATGTTATCTGCTACTATGGAAACCGGGGGGAGCCTGAGCCGGTTGTCCTGGAACCAGGTGAGTCTGCTCTGGTGGGTGGTGACAGGGTGGGGGCTGCTCCTCTGGGGACACCTCCGTACTTTTATGAGACTGAGTCTCTGTCGTATTTCTCTCCTGGGACTGTGCTTTTTGGCCATTTGTGTACATTACGGCCTGTAGTGGCCTGTGGCGAGCACCTGGTTCACATATCAGACTGCCTAAAGCTTAGATCACCTTTCCCCCAGGGCCGAGCTCATGACTGCCCAGAGAATTGGAAACTAAAAGGCACAAAAGGATCGGGGACCTTCCTCCTCAATTCTAGGCATTGGCCCAGAGGCCTTAGTGGAAGCATCTGGAAACTGTCCCTGGGATGCCCTCAGTTCTTAGTGCTGGAGACCCTGTGACTAGAGATGTTTGGTTTTTGCTAGACTTGCTTGGAAGAAATTCTTTTCAACTACATTCTGTTGTTTCATCCCTGAGCCTGCCCTTGCCCGATCTGTGTTAGTTTTTTTAATAACAGCTTTATTGAGATATAACTCATATATCATACAGTTCACCCATTTAAAGTGTACCATTCAGTAGATTGTAGTATTCACAAAGTTGCACAACTATCACTGCTATCTAATGTTTTCATCACCTCAAAAAGAAACCATAGCCAGTGACTCCCCATTACCCTTTCTCCCCAGCCCCTGGCACCCACTGATCTTTCTGTCTCTATGGATTTGCCTATTCTGGACATTTTCTATAAATGGAGTCATGCAATGTGTGGCCTTCTGTGTCTTGCTTTTTTCACTTAGCATAATGTTTTCAGGGTTCATCCATGTTGTAGTATGAATTAGGGCTTCATTCCTTTTTATGGCTGAGTAATATTCCATTGTACGTATATTTTACATTTTGTTTCTCCATTCATCCCTTGATGGACACTTAGGTTATTTTTACCTTTTGGCTATTGTGGATAATGATGTTATGGACATTTGTTGCAAGTTGCGTGGACATGTTTTTCTCTTGGATATACCTAGGAGGGAAATTGCTGGATCTTAAGGTAATATTTAACCTTTTGAGAAACTGCCAAACTATTTTCCAAAGCACTTTCACCATTTCATATTTCCACGAGTGGTGGATGAGGTTCCAGTTTCTCCACATTCTTGCCAACGATTGTCATTGTCTGTTTGATTACAACCATCCTGGTGGGTGTAAGGTGATATCTCATTGTGGTTTCGATTCATATGTGCCCTGATGGCTAATGATGTTGAACAGCTTTTCATGTGTTTAATAGCCATTTGTATATCTTCTTTGAAGAACTGTCTATTCAGATCTTATGTCCATTTTTAAATTGGGTTGTTCGTATTTTTATTATTAAGTTGTAGTTCTTTATATATTCTAGCTACTAGTCACTTATCAGATACATGATTTGCAAAAATTTTCTTCTGTGGATTTTCTTTTCACTTTTTAATTGATATCTTTCGAAGCACATCATTTACAATTTTGATGTTGTCCATTTTATCTATTTTTGTTGTAGTTATTGCTTGTGCTTTGGTATCATATCTAAGAAAACACTGCCTAATCTAAAGATGTGTAGCTTTTCCTCTACATTTTCTTCTAAGAGTTTTAAAGTTTTAGCTCTTACATTTAGGTCTTTGGGACATTTTGAATTGATTCTTGTGTATAATGTGAGGTAGGGGTTCCACTTTATTCTTTATATGTGGCTACCCAGGTGCACAGCACCACTGATGATGCTTTCCTGTCGCTCCTGATAGATAAAGCACAGTGATACCCCAGGTTGGTGCCGTGGCTATGGGGACCTGGCAGAGTCAGAGTTGTGTTCCCGGAAAGTGACTAGGGTCACGTTATACTGTCAAGACTCTGCCCTGAAAGTCTGGCAGAAGCAGAAGCTGGCGGCTCCCTGTCCTCAGTGCACCTTTTAGGACACATGACTTCGAGCTCACCTGCCCCTGTTGCCTGCCCTAGCCTCTCTACCTCAAGGCCGTGCTTCTCTTTTTTTTGACGTGAGAAACTCTTTGCTTTTTTATAATGCCTTTTGTTAACCACTGAGAACTTGTTTTGGAAAACTTGTGCCAGAGACCTTAAGATTCATTCAACTAAGGTCCCAGCCAGCACGGAGAGGAGACCCTACCTATCCCCACTAGGTGGGGCTGTCCTGATGTTGGTGGGTTCCCTAACTGCTGATGTGAGTTGTGGGCTGGTGCCCTCCTGGCCTCCAGTTGCTGATTCAACTACCCTTGTCATATTTAGGTGGACCCACACCTCGCAGCTTTTTTCTAGCTTAGAGAGACATGTGAGTGAAATGTGGAGGTGGTTCCTTCTCAAGGTCCCCCTTTCCTTTGCCCAGTTTGATTTCAGGTTGTTTATTTCTAATTATCAATGCCATTTGGCGTCTGTGCCTCTAGGTCTCCTGCACGCACCCCACCATATTAAGTTCTCCACCTCTCACCATGCAGACAGTTTGGGACTGTGCATACAAAAGATGCTGGAGTGTGGGGCGGCCTGGCCACAGTGACCCTGGTTGTGTCCCCAGCACCTTGCCTCGTGCTGGGTGGGTGGGTGGGTGTGAGTTTACCCTAAATTCAGACAGCTGGGCCTCTGCACTGGCAGGTTGACCCCCTTCCTGCAGGGACCTATGGGCTGAGTAATGCGCTGCTGGAGACGCCCTGGAAAAAGCTGTGCTTTGGGAAGCAGCTCTTCCTGGAGGCTGTGGAACGGTGCCAGGCACTCCCTAAGGAAGTCCTCATCACCCAGCTCCTGGACGTGCTCAACAACGAGGAGGCGTGAGTGGGTGGGTCCCACTGTGGTGAGCAGAATATCCCGCTATCACTTTGGCTCTGGGGCAGAGAGGCAAGCAGTCTCTGCTGCTCTTTGAGGCCTGTGGAGGTAACTGGTGCCAGCTACTCAGCTGCTGGGGAACCTGACAGATGCACAGACACACTGCCCTCTACTCCCGTCCCGCCTGCTCACGTGGGCAGTCGAAGTCTGACAGGGGGCCTTCGATGATGGGAGATAGGGCATTTGTGGGCCACTGTGCTAGGAAACTTGGTGCTCTCAGAGGCCTGGAGTGCGCTCACATGGGGCTGGGAATAGCTGGAGGCTAGCGGGAGATTCCAAGCAAACCACAGAAGAGAGCAGCCAGCCTCAGAGTACATCTGGAAGTTGAGTGTCCTTCCCACATACTGTCCCACCAGCAGCTATGGCACAGACATACTCATCCTAGGAATTGCCTAAAGAAAAGGAGTCCCTCACCCGACTTCCTTGAGGCACTTCAATGGCCTCTTCATGGCGCACCTACTCCAGGGATGCCACCTTCTGGCATATCTTGACCATCCTAGTTGGGGGGGTCAAGGTATTGGCCAAGCTACCTTCCTCTCACAGTGATATTGTCCACACATGCCTCCCCTACCTCACCCAGCCAGGCCAGGCCAATGTCCTGCCCAGATGCCCAGTGGTCTCCTAAGGGGAGCCCCCCTTGGCCTGCCTCCAGCTTCTCTCCACTGGGGACCCTCCCTGACCCTTACTCACCTTTCTTCTCCTCTGAACCATGAACCAGGGCACAGCCTTGGCATAGCTACCACCTTGGGGAAGCCCTACCTGGGCTCACCTGGTAGCCCATGCTCAGCTGTAAGTCCACACAGCACTCAGTCACTGTCATCCCTGCTGGCCCATGACAGGCCCTGCCTCCTTTTATTAACAGCTGTGGCCCTGGTGCCATCTACAGTGGCTGGCAAGCTGCAGGGCTTGAGTGGGCTCCTGTAAAGTAGAGAGATGCCTGTAGGACACCTCTTGGGATAGGCAGGGAGCATGTGTGGCCAGGTGACCACACCTCTCAGCCTGGCCCTTGCCTGAAGTGCAACTACCAACTCAGGCTTTATTGAGATGGGAGGGCAAGCTCTCTCCCAGAGTAGCTTCTGTCCTCCTGAGGGGGGCCCTGTACTTCTCTGACCAAAAAGACCCCAGGGATTTTTCCAATCCAGCAGAGCCTTCCTAGCTCACAGGTGCTTATAACTTTGGGGTCCTGGGTCCTGGGAAAGCTCATGGTGGCCCTGGCAGGGAGAGCTGGCCCAGTGATCACTATCTGGCAGTCCAGGCCCAGCAATGAAATCCTAAGTGAAAATCTTGACAGAGATTTGAGGCCTTGGAGCAGAAAAATGCACAAAATAGCCCTCCCGAGGCTGATGGGCTCCTCAGGTACTATGGGGCTGTAGGCGGGCCATGGAGAGGCTGATGGTGACCCCTCCTCTGTCCTTCCAGGCAGTTGCCGGACCCGGCCATTGAGGACCAGGGCAGGGAGTCCGTGCAGCCCATTCTGAGCAAGTACGCAGCTGTGTGTGTACGTTGCCCAGACTACGGGACCAGGTACGGTGGGCTGCTGGGTGCATCCTATCCTGTTCCATGAGGAACCTGAGCCCCATGGATCCCAGAGCTTCTGCCTTGTCTAGAAGCAGCTGCTATTTCAGCTCAGGGGGCTGTGGGATGAGCAGATGCCAGCTCCCAGGGGTGTTGCAGACTAGGCGAGAGGCCCCTGAGGCTTCCATTGCCTCCCAGGAGGGGGTCTTGAGCTGCTTCCTACCCTCTACACAGCCTTGATAGCCAGTATGGCATAGGGCACACACATGTCAGCAAATCCCTGTGGGCCCGGAGGTTCCACTGCCTGGCTCTTCCCTTTACTTGCCCTGCATCCTTGGGCCTATCACATTCTCTATGGGAACAGGGCTAGGACTAGGTCATCTGATCCTGTGATGTCACCTTACCCCAGGAAAGGGGCAACAGGTGAAAATGTCCAGGAGGGAGAAGGTGTTGGTACAGATGTCTGCTATCCTGGAAAATTCCTTTCCTTCCTCCCTCCCACCTGGGTGCAAGGCTAGAAGGTCTGACCTGCCCACATGGCTTCATCAGAGGACAGGCCATATCATGTACTTGGAGGTGGCTGGGATGCACAGGGGAGGGTAGGCTGCTGGTCCAGCCAGGATGCTCCAAGAGTACTCCTGCCACGTGCCTGGCCCACCTGGCTTGGAGGTAGAGAGCGAACTCATGTGTAGCCACATCTGCCTAAGCTGGGCTTATACCAACCTCGTGCTAGGCTGGGGGCCTGGAGCAACTATGATGGATGGGCCCTGCCCTTGGGAGCCCAAGATTGCCAAAGACTCAGGGACGAGGTGTTTGGGCCATGACAAGTGCTAACTGATGTCAGGGTGATGTTACACACACACCTGGTTTGGGGTTCAGGTCATTTGAGATTGAGTGAGCCAGACCCCTTTGTTCCTTACAGGTGGGAGAGGTTGGGTTATTGCTACCTCCATGCAGATGAGGAGTTAGATCTCCCAGGGGGCTGTGAGCTAACCTTGCTGTGGTGAAATGGCTGAGGCTTCGATGATGCTGAGGGCATCTGGCAGGGGGATGGACATGTGAAGTCCTGGGACCACCTGACAGAGGGTGGCAGGCCCCTCTGTCAGGTCCTCCATCCCCTAGGAAATGACAGTTTCAAGCCCTCTGGCTGGGGGATGGGATGGTGGGCAGGGCCAGTGTGATATGAATGCTTGGCACTGATGCTCCAGGGCCCACTGATGATGCTCAAGGGCTTGCGGGTTGCACATCTGAATGTCATCCTTCCCATCTGGGCTAGCTTTTCCCTCAGCAAGGATGTCATTTCCCTCAAGCCCCTTTTCTTTCATAGGCTTATTTTTGTGACTAAATTGTGTGTTCATGCGTACTTAGTGCATAAAGCAGAGCACCAGGTCTCCTCCCTGGTTGGGTACATGGCTACTGGGTCCCACCCCAACTGAGACCCCTAGTTTTCAGCATGCATGTGCCCACCCTGGGTATCAGCCTGTTTGTGCTGAGGCTGCTTGGGAACCTGGTGTCTGCCCTCTGTCAGTGGGAGACAGGTGCTAGCAATGTGAGTACTCATTGGGGGAAGGGCCATGCAGGAGGAGAGAAGGTGTGCTGAGCATTTGAGATGCAGTGGTGGTGGTCATGAGGGAGGACAGGAGGGAGTTTTTCTCATTGAAGAAGGCCTGATCTCTAGGCAGTTGACAGCTTGACCTTTTAGAAGAGCTGAGCATGGCCGAATGTCTGGGCAGTCCCCTGTAGTGGTGCTAGGCCATTGTCTGAGAGTCCTGGGGGATTCTGATCAGGGAAGTGCATGGTCAGCCCAGGACTCACCCTGGTGAGAGTGGTGGGCATTTGGGGCTTGTGCTGCAGAGGGCAGGCAGGGCAGGCTGTGGGTATTTCAGAGTGGAGATGACAGGTCTTGCTGAGCATGGACTTGTGGGGCCAGCCAGAGAGCTCCAGGTCCCTCCAGGCTCAGTGCCCAGATGCCACAGATGGGTCCCTCCATTCCTCAAGGCTGAGGCTGCTGCTCATTTGTGACCTGCCTCCAGCTGGGCCAAGTGCCTAGCATGGGTCCCAGGTGTGGTGGGTTTGACCCTTCTGCCTTGGATCTGAACCCAGACGGTGCTCTGACAGGTGGCCAAGGGCAGTGGGCTGAACATGGGCCCCATGCTCTCTTTCAGAACCAACACAGTCATCCTCGTGGACGCGGATGGGCACGTGACCTTCACAGAGCGCAGCATGCTGGACAAGGACCCTTCCCGCTGGGAGACCAGCACGCACGAGTTCAGGCTGCAGAGCTAAGCCCGTGTGGCCAGAGGACTCCTGTAAGGCCCTGCCTTGAGGGATGGACAGAAACCTTCCACACCATATACACTACCTGTGACTCTGCCAGTAAACTCCCAGGACCACAGCCCTCTGATTTGTGTGTGATTTATCTGTGTCCCTGTATCTAGCTTGAGGTCCACCCTTACGCCAGTGGGACTGACAGAGTCACACAGCCAGGTCAGGGATAGGTCCAGGTATGCTGCGTATGTGTGAATGCATCTGGGTCTGTTCTCTGTCCGTGCATAGAGACACACGCACAAGACACATGCTTACATACATGCCTACAGGTACACAGGCACATAGGTACACCCATAGGGCATGAACACACAGGCACACACATGCACAGGTAAGATATGTGCACACATGCTGGAACACACACACACTCCCAGGCATACATACACTCATGCATGTAACAGATAGGCAGAGGTGTGCTTCTCCCACCCACAAGCCCTTCTAGCCAGTGGGTCTTTGCTTTGATCAAAACAACAGGAGTAGACCTATTTCAAACTGGCACCACCTCTCCTGGGTGTAGTCCAGTTCCTGACAGTTAGACCTGCTCATTAAGAGGAAATGGGCCATGTTTAGAATGAGGAATGAGGAAGACCCAAGAAAAACCTACTCTCATAACAGAAGCATAGTCTGGTTGGTAGATTCAGTGGTCCTGTGTGTGCTAGGGGGTCCCATGTACATGGGGCTCTTCTGTGGGGCAGGGAGTAGTCCTGCATGCACCAGGGGTCCTTTGTGTGCTCAGCACCTTGGCAGTCTGTCAGGCCTTGCCTGCCCACTAGGAATCATAGGTTCTGGGCAAGCCCATCTCATTCAGGGGATAGAGCCAGCCCCTGCCTTTCCCTTCTCCTTGGGGAGTCAAACTTTATAGGAATTTATATTTGAATGTGACACATTGATAATAAAACTGAGGCTGTGGTGAGTCTATGCATTCCAGGTCCTTAACTGGTATGATGGAGAAGACCAGAGCAGTTGTGTACGAGGGGTCGGGGGCCTGTTTCTATGGCCTCCTGAGTGTCATGATGGAAGCCCGAGGGTCCTTGGGCAAAGGCTTGGGCGCAAGAGAGCCTGTGTGCCTGGGACATGGTAGGTGCTGGTGACAGGGCCTCCTGAGCTGGGCCAAGGAGTGAGGGAATTATTCATTTGCAATAGAGAGCCCCTGGACCCTCTGAGGGAGTGGTGTGGTCAGGTGTGCGCTTGGTGTGAACCATGGAGACCAGGGAATGGGTTAGGTTTCAGGGTAAGAGAGCGAATGTAGTCTGTTGCAACCCTGGTTTTGGGCAGGCACTTGGGAGTTCCTGTCCCCAGCAGGGGCCAAGCATAAGGGGGTCTCACATGTCCAGTGTTGAGCCCCAGGCTTCTCTCTGCTTTTGTAGTTGACCCTTGGACTTCGCCTTCTCGGAGCACTGAGAGCTTGGGGTGCAGTGTGAACCTACATCAGACCCAACTTGCCTGCTCATCTTCCTATTCAACCACCCCTCAGGGGCCTGATGCCCTCCTCAACTTACTTTAAACTCAGAAGAAAAGTGCTTCAGCACAGCTAGGCTTAAAGGGGCTCGAAACAGTGACACAGCCCATGCTCCTAGGCCCAAGAGGAAACCAGCCCCAAGTCCCACAAATGTCTGGCTTAGCCACAAAGAGCCAGGCTCCAAGCTCAGGCACTGCTGACACCTGATACTCTTTGCCTCAGCTAGCCGCCCCACAGCATGGACTAGTGTCCTACACCAGCTCTCACACTAGCCAGGCATATCCGTCCTTGTGGGGCACCGTTGTGCTGGATGCAGAGCCATTGAAGAGGCTCTACAGATGTTTACCTCTGCCCCAGGGATGGGGCATCCAGGGAAAGCTTCCCCAACCTTGTCATGGACCCCTCGGTGCCCAGCCCACCCGGGGCTCCCCAACAGCCCGGAACTCCCCTCCCCCCGCATACACGCACAAGGAAGGAGCAGCTGAAGGTATAGTTCTGTGATGGTGATGAGTTGAGTTTTGTGCCCCCAAAAGATATGTTGTATTCCTAACTCCAGGACCTTAGAATGGAACCTTATCAGGGTCTTTACAGCAATAAAATGAAGTCATTAGGGTGCGCCCTAATCCAATATGACTGGTGTTCTTATAAAAAAGGGAAAATTTAGACATGGACAGATACACATGCAGAGAGAACACCCTATGAAAATGAGTTATGCTGCCACATGCTAAGAAATTACCAGAAGCTAGAACAGAGACCTGGAACAGATCTTTCCCTGATAACTTCAGAGGGAGCAAGGGCCTCCTGACACCTGATCTCAGACTTCTGGCTTTCAGAATTGTGAGAGAATACATTTCTGTTGTTGAAACCACTCATTTGTGATATTTTGTTATGGCTATCCTAGCAAAATAATATAATTGTGACCTTCACTTTAAAGATGAGGAAACTGAGGCTTGGGGAGACACCATAATAGTCTCTCAGTTCCCAGGCAGGTGTGGAGGCAGAGCCATGAGACCAGAAAGGAGCAGAGTGAAGACAAGGTGGATCTTGGGGTGCCTGCCTCTGTGGTCTCACAGTCCTCCCACACTGGTCTCATCCTGCTGCCTGGCATCCCTCCCACCTTCACCTCACTTGATCCAGCCCCTGCCACTGTTAATGGACTAGTGCCATTAGCTTTTTGCATATATCCTGCCCAGGGCCTTTGCACTCCTTGTCTCCTCTGCCTGAATAACTCCTACCCCAGATGATCCAACAGCGCTCTACCTCATATCTTGCAGGCCTTTGCTAAAGTCTTGCGGGGGCATCCCATCTAAAGTTGCAATTTTCCCTGCCTTGCTCCCTGCTCTTTCTCTATAGCAGCACTGTCTGACATGCAATGTATTCTATTTCTTGTGTGTCTGTATGTCAGGAGAGCTCCAGGAAATCAGGACTTTTCCTCTCTTGCCCACTACTGTATTCTGGTGCCTAGGCCAGGTAGACATTTGAGCAAAGGATGGCAGACATTTGAACCACTGGCTGGTGCTTCCCAAGCCCTCATTTATTTAGGCCAGTGCCTTGAAGTGAGGCCCCTGTGCTATTAAAAGAGTACAGAGACCCTAGGAAACTGATGCCTTCTAGAAGTGCTTTTGACATACCATCCGGGAAGGCCTGGGCTTGACCTTGGCATGTCTTAGCCAGTCTTCTGTGCTTGTCACCAGATATATCTGATCCCTGAGTCCCCAGTAGGAGTCCTCTTCTGGGTGAATGGAGAATTCATCCCCTTCTCAGATGCCCCTTCCTAGATGAGCTTCTCCCACTCTCTGACTCCAAGACATCTGAGTTGAGGTGTGCAGGCATGGAAGCTGGAGGTGTAGGGCTGAATGATGCAGAGGCAAGTCTGTAAGCAAGTATGACCAGACCGGGAATGTGTCTTGACCTTAGGTTGACCCCGCAACACCCATCTTTTGATAAGTTTGCTTGTGTATACATTTGCTAGTGACCTTGGTTAAGGTGCTAGCAGGTGACATCATCCAGGCCCTACAGCAGAGACCTGGCTCATGGGTGAGCTGGGCTGAGGTGAAAAACAGGAGCCCAGAGGGAAAAGTTTCCTTCCCTAGCTTGGGCTGGAGTACATCCAAATTTGTGACTCTGAGGCTGGAGCCAGGTGGGGACTGTGGGGGAGGTGCTATGGTGAGGGCCCTTGTCCATCACCCAGGCTGTGTGGGAAGTTGGCTATAGAGGGTAGGTCTGAGGTCTCAAGTCTGAGGCAGGTGGAGCCTCCAACTCACCAAGCAATGAAGTGTGGAGAGGTGGCTACAGTTGGATGGACTCTGACTACACTGGGCCAAGGCCAGCAGCTGGCCAAATCCAGGAACGAGACCCTCCTGGGGCTTGATGCCCACTATAAGGTGCCTGGTACTGCCCACTGAGGCAACCAGGCCAAAGAAAGAGGGCAGGAAGGTAAGAAAGGGCTTGGGTAGTTCTCCAGCTTCCTCATCTGGGACACTCCCTCCCCCCCTCCCCCCACCTTTTTTTTAACCTTTTCATTTTGACATGATTTCAATTTGCTACACACTTGGAAAGTAGAACAAAGAATTACTGTTTCCTTCATGAAGTTCCCCCAAATGTTAACCTTATCCAACAAGTTAAATGATTACAACCAGGAAATTAGCATTGATACACTATTAACTGACCTACAGAACCTATTTGAATTTTACCAATTGTCCCACTAATATCCCATTCCTAAACCAGGTTCCAATCTAGGATCCAGATTCCACATTGCAATTAGTTGTGTCTCCTTTAATTGAAGATGGCTTCTCAGCCTGTCTTTGACTTGCACGACCTTGAAACTTTGGAAGAGTACCAGCCAGTTCTTTGGTAGAATGTCCCTCATTTGTATTTGCCTGATGTTTCTTAGTAATTAAATTCAGGTTTGCTTTTAGGGCAGAAATACCAAGTGATATATATTGTTCTCAGGAGGCCCACAATATGTCCCTTTCCTGGTGTTTTCCTTCACTTTTGAGGTACAGTTAATATACAATGCAACACATATTCTTCTTTTAAAAAATAATTATTTTAATTGA